AGATCCCACGATTTTTTTTGGTCCGCGACTGAACTCGAGCTTATTTTTTCTAGATCCATGTTAATGTTAGATTCGCTGATGGGACTTGTGTTGCAGTTTGTCAATCGCCCTTCTGGCGGCAGCTATCGGACATTATACAGCCTGATTTCTTCTAATCGATGAGCATGTGCTGTGTTTTCCATTGTTGTGATATGCACAGTACAACTCCAAGACTTTCTGTCGGTTGCTCTCATAAGTGCGGTTTTATGTATGCCTCCCTCTCGTCGCTTTGCTAGCACCTCCGAGTAGATTCCCGTTGACGCACTTGGGCACAGTGCTTATGGCATGAAATAGGTCTCTCTGCCTGCATAGATGTAGGTCTGTCTTGTTCAGGCGGTCTAACCTGATTGTTTTCTGTATATGTACCTATTTTGTGCAATATGTCTTACATTTGTTGCTCTTCATTATATGCATCTTATGTATCATATTTCTTTAGTTCTTTCTCTTCGATTGATGTAGAGGTCAGGTTGATAGACCACTGTAGTGGTCGTCACTTCTCTCTGCTCTGAGGTGAGCTGGTGTCTTCGGAATCTACCGCACGCTTCGCGCGATGTCACCCACCTCGGCCTCCCGACGCTAGGATACAGGTGTGAGGCACAAGATTACCCCCGCTCTATTGAACATGCCTGTAGTCCAGCTACTGGAGGCTGAAGGCAGGAGGATCGGCTTGAGCCCAGGAGTTTGAAGGTGCTTGTGAGCTGAGGCTCGACGCCCGAGCCTGGGCAATCAGTGAGACTCTATCTCAAAAAAAAAAAGATCTTACATGTACTGTCTTCCTAATAACCTATTCCATTTGAAGACATTACAAATCATGGCTACCTGCTCCCCCTAAAAATTTTAGTAACAATTAACACACGCACACAGTCTTTAAGATGTGCAGGGCATCTGCATCCAGTAGGTGCCCAAATTGGTTAGTTTGACATACACTAATTCACTTAAATGTCTCAAAAATCCCTCGAGCTAGACAATACCAGCTGCATTTTACAGATAAGGAAACAAATCTGGGTAGACTAAATGATTTCCTGTAGATATCACTAGCGACAGAGTGACAATCAAAGCCAAAGCCTGGCTCCTGAGCAGTCAACCTGGCCTCATTCAGAAACTATTTGACTTTACTTCTGCAGCATCTAGAATAAATGAGCATTCTTCTATTTTATGCAGTAAGTTATCAGCTTCTCAGCCCCGAACCATTCAAACAGTGCAACAAAAGTCCATGGTCTTTGAACGGTCACTGTAAATCCAACTTAATGGGCATGAATAGGAATACCAATGTCACTAATGCCATTTGTCTAAATGACAAGCTTCTGCTTGAAGTCACAAAACTGAGCGTCAGTCACAAAGGATAGAGGGAGGTTCTTGGAATCCTTTGTACGCCTGGACAATAGTGCTCCAGCCCTTCAGGAGTATAATCACAGAGGCAAATGTGCTAGAAGATACTACTTGTATCTGTTATTTCAACCAACAGAAACAAAACAAAACAAAAAAAAATCCATTCTATGTCATGTTATTCATGGCTGACTTACATTGCCATGATTTGTGTGCCCTCTAAAAGGCAAACAATGAAAATCCTTCGTAAAAGAAAAAATAAGAAAAATTTTTTTTGTTGAGACGAGAGTTCTCGCTGTTTGTGCCGGAGGCTAGAAGTGAGTGCCGTGGCGTCAGCCTAGCTCACAGCCAACCTCAATCTCCTTGGCTCAAGCGATCCTCGCGCCTTCAGCGCCTCCTCGCGCAAGCCTAGCTGCACTAACAGCACGCGCCACCGACGCCCGGCAATTTTTTTTTTGCGAAGGTACATATATTAGTTGGCCAATTAAATTGGTCTTCGGTATGTATAGTAGAGACCGGGTCTCAGTTCTTGCGCTCAGGCCTGGTTTCAAACTGCGCTGACCGGGTTGGTAGCCGATCCACCCACCTGGCGGGACCCAGAGCCTAGGATTACAGGCATGAGCCACGGCGGCCCGCCGTTAAAAATTTGAAAAATTAAATAATTGAGCAGCCGAGTGAAAGTCGTGTGAAAAAGAAGAAAAAGAAGAAGAAAAGAAAAATTTTTTTAAAATTCAGAATATTGGTGGCTGATGCGAGGCGCACAGCGGAGAGGATCGAGGCACTCTGGGAGCCAGGTGGAGGATCGCTCGGCAGGTCTAGGAGGTTCGGAAACCAGCCTGAAGATTTTTCGAAGACAAAACCGTTTCTGTTACTAAAACATAAAAGAACGAGAAATTCGCATTGGGCGCCCAACTAAAAATATATAGAAAAAATTAGCTGGGCATGTGTGGCACATGCCGTGAGTCCAGCTACTCGGTGTGTTTGTTTTTGTTTTGGTTGTTGTGTGTAGGGCAGGTTGTGAGGTTTGAGGTGTGTGTGGTTGCTACCCAGCGTTGTGTTTGTTGTTGTGTTGTGTTTTTTTTTGGTTTTTTGTTGTGGGCGAGAAGATGTGCTGGCGCGGGGCTGTTGCTGTGAGAGCTGATACCACGGCACTCAAGCTCTAGCTTTTTTTGGTGGGGCTTTAAATATAATAATGTGTGTTGTTCTCTGACTCTAATATAAATATAAGTTCTTTAAATGAGTATAAAAGTGGTGTGTGTGTGGTTTGTGAATAGGAGATAAGGAAAGGGGGCGATGGGCAATATACGTAACTTAACACCTGCTAGCCCCCTGATAATACGCCTGAAGAGAATGAGAAGAGAGATGTAGTTTTTTAAAAATTACAAAATGGGAGTACGCCACAAAGTGTTGTAGAAGAAAAAGCAAAAAGACTAATTTGTAAAAAAATACAATATTTTTGTACAAAAGAAGGATTGTTAAAAAAAAGGAAAAAATAAAATAAAGATAAATAATACGCAATAAAACAGTTCAAAGCCTGTGTAAGAAACTACGGTACTTCATTCCCCCCCCCTTTGTGTTTTTTGAATTGGACCCTAGTGTTCTTCCTGGCTGGCGAGGGAATGCCGAATGCCGTAAAGTGAGAAGAGCGTAGGGTTAATGATATTGCCACATGAGAATGTGGTAACGCGAGATGTTCTGCTATTTTTTTTCTTTTCTTTTTTTTTTTTTTTTCCTAACCAGCAAAACCAGACCAGGGAGTGAGTGGCGGGTGAGCGGGCCGGGCAGAAACCAGTGACCCATCCCTCCGCCTCCCGGTTGGTGGAGCATTTCTGCAACAGCATTTAAATTCCGGGAGGTCCGGGCTGTGAGCAGCAGGGAGAGAGGACAGGCAGGCAGCAAGCCCTGGCACTAGCCTCTTCCCCAGCCAGCCTCGACCGTCCCAGCCAGACACCACCAAGGTAAGCCTGCAGTTTGCAGCTTTGCATTTGGTTCGGGCATTTGGTGGAATTTTATGGGGAAATCAAAGCTCTAAGGAAAATAGTTTTAACTGTAACCCTCTTAAACAGACAAAAATTGTTCTTAGCCTTTTGAACAAGCAGATCAGATGCATAACAGGTCTCTGGGAACAAAGATGTTCAAGGATCTGGAAAGCCAGTCGAATATAAAGCTTCAAGATTCTTCCACTGGGTCCTCAAAAGAACAGCTACTACTGTTTCCTAGCAGAAAAAAAGGAAAATTCGATGCCCCTCTGAAATGATTCTACCTGTATCGTTTTAAATGGATGGATCATTCTGGGGGCATTTGAAAGAAAAAGGATACTTCGTGCTAGTGTCATGCGATGATAATCCTATTTTTAAAATGATTTATCTCATTTTCAAGGAAAGGAATCCTCTCCGAATGTGTTACTCCTAAATTTAGCTGTTAAAATTTTCACCAACATAGCTGTATGACACTGTGTAGATTCAATTATCACATCTAGAAAAGCTGTTGACTATTCTTAGTGTTTTCTTTTTCATCTCGAATTTTTACAATGCCTTACTTAAATAAGTAATTCCAGAGATAGCTTCATTTCACCTAAGTAGCACCTACTTAACAATTTCAGTTAAAAATCATGTTGGAAATATAAAGCAAATTTCTTTCATTTTTTTTCTTTGCGTGTTTTTTCCCCTCTGAAAGTAAGTATTCCCATAATAGCTTATTTATTTAATTAATTTTTTTTTTTTGAGTCAGAGTCTCGTTCTGTCACCTGGTCTAGAGTGCCATGGTGTCAGCCCAGCTCACAGCAACCTCAAACTCCTGGCCTTAAGCGATCCTCCTGCCTCAGCCTCCCGAGTAGCTGGGACTACAGGCATGGACCACCATGCCTGGCTAATTTTTTCTATATATTTTTAGTTGTCTAGATAATTTCTATTTTTAGTAGAGATGGAGGTCTCGATCTTGCTCAGGCTGGTCTCGAACTCCTGACCTCTAGCGATCCTCCCGCCTTGGCCTCCCAGAGTGCTAGGATTACAGGCGTGAGCCACCGCGCCCGGCCTAATTAAATGACTGTTCATCTGTTTTTAGGTTAAAATAGCTGGAGGTACCAGGCAGTAACAGTATAATCTCTAGAACTCTACATTGAAGAATTGAATAAATATAGACATGTAAATTCCACCTCCCCCTTGCCTAATAGTAGTAAGAGATGGAGAAGAGAAGTTGCAATACAAATATTAACTTGAAAGACCAAAAAAAAAAAAAAATTAAAACAGAAAGTCTTCTCTACGAAATAGAAAAGATCTGATAGAAAATATATTTTATTTGTGATGATTTTGTGATGTGCTAGTATAACTGTCTGAACCTCTGAAGATACTGACTGAATTTCCTTTGCAAAATATTTTGCAGGAAAAATCTCAACCATGGGAATTGCAATGATTTGCTTTTGCCTTTTTGGCATTGCCTACGCCCTACCAGTGAGTACACCCGATTCTCAAAGAAAATTCCTGAGAATAACTGAATTGTGTGCTGAATTGTGTGCTGGGAAAACAATTACATTGTAAGCCTTCTTCATCTTTTCTCTCTCAAAGGTTAAACCGGCTAATTCAGGCAGCTCTGAGGAGAAACAGGTAAGTGTCTTTTAAGTTTATCCTGCAGTTAAATTATTCCTGCAACGATTGCAAGAGGCACTACACGCATATTTGTTGCAATTTTACTTATCTTCATAGTCGGGCCTATTAATTGACAAGGATTTATTGACTGCCTGCTGGGAACCTACACCAGTACCAAGCATGGTATAGTTTTTTTTTAAAAAAAATATATGCACTGAAAACCAAGCTAGATTTCTTTTGACATCATAAGATAATGCTGTAAGTTGGCTAGGCCAATATCACACGTAAAATGAGTTCTATGAAGTTGCGTGACCTTTTCTTTTCTAAGAGTCCACATACAGTTTTATAAGCAGGAAGTTTCATCTTTTGCTTTACTGAGTAGAAGGCTAAGTTTAAACTTCTCCCCAGATATTAGAACTGTTTGTGTGACCGTAATTGTCACAATATTGCCTGAGATATTTGCTGAAAAGCCCATTGTGCAAAGAAAGTCTATTGATGCTGTTGGTATCTATTGTGTTTTGTCAGCTGACATTAGATCACATTTTTCTGGGCAGACATAAGACCAAACCAAACTCTTCATTATGTTTATTTGACCAGCCACTATAGCTGTACCTACCCCTCCGCAAGAGATGAAACTATGCCAGCCAACCAACAAATGGGCATTGTCCCCAAAAGCTGGCACAAAAGGTCACACACAGTGTCCAATTTCAAATGGGCAGAATAAAAGCCAATATAGAGTTGCCTGGGGCGACTGCAATTAGATTGCTTAATGAAGACATTAAAAGAAGTATTCTGTGTATTTGTACATGCGTGAGAGTGGCCGTGTGTACATGTGTCTGTTTCCCAAATGATTTCAGAAGACAGGTGATGAATCACAATAAGAAACCAGAAAAACAAATGTCTCCAGTGAAGACAGAGGTTCTACTATTTGAGGCAAGAATGAAGGCCTTGTTAATAGGGTAAAGCAAGGCAAGGATGCATTTTCAAAAAGCACACGAAGCCATGACAGTTTTTAAGTCATTACGTGATAAGTAATAAGAGATAAGAGCTCAACCTTCTAGAATCCCCAAAACTTAGAGCTAGTAAAAACAATAAGAAAGTCTGTAAGGTTATACCCCTGAAAATAAACACAGGTTATCTGTGAGCGTTAGGAGGATAAATTGGGTGGGTTTTAGTCTGTTCCTTTTGCTTAGCTATATTTTCCTCATATTACCTTTGTGAAAATTCAACTTATACATGCATTCTCCTTGAGCCATTATTACATGTGCCATGAGAAAAAATATAAGCGTAATATATAAAAATAAATGTGCACATATATGAAAAATCAATAGGAAAACTTTGAACTCGTCTAGTTCAGTACTTTTTGCATCTTTTTTTTTTTTTTTTTAGGTAAGGAACCCCTTCTTTTAGCAAAAACTTTCAGAGGAGGCCAATATTAAACTTCTCTGGTTAGAGTCCACCAAGAGAGAAACTCTAAGTGCTACTGATAGGTCCTCTCCATATTCATCCTCCCCAACCCCAAACTCCCCACCCCCTATTTCCCCACCCTCCCATCCCCCACCTTGCACCCCTTACCCCACCCCCACCCCCACCCCCCATGGCTGCAGAAAGGACTCTCTGGAACCCCCGAGATTCTCATGAATCTCATGCTATAAGCATGTCCCAATGATAGGGACATGGAGTGATTAGCCCTGGATGACATAGCTGATCAGGTGACACTTATTCAGAGCAATTCCCAGTCCTCTGTGCTAGCATACTGTCATCATTTTCCAGATAAATAACTTGGCTAGAGAAAAGGCCACTCCATTTACACCCTTGGCATCTTACAGCAATAGAGCTTTCGTGCAATGATCGTTGAGATTGTATTTCTGCACTCTCTGGTAAGATAGCCGCTAGACACATGTGGCTATTGAGCGCTTAACATATAGCCAGTGCAACTGAGGAATCGAATTTTTTAAATTTTGCTTCATTTTAATTAACTTAAATTTTAAATCCCGGCCTGGCGAGGTGGCTCACGCCTGTAATCCTAGCACTCTGGGAGGCCGAGGCCGGAGGATCGCTCGAGGTCAGGAGTTTGAAACCAGCCTGAGCAAGAGCGAGACCCCGTCTCTACTAAAAATAGAAATTATCTAGACAACTAAAAATATATAGAAAAAATGAGCCGGGCATGGTGGCACATGCCTGTAGTCCCAGCTACTCAGGAGGCTGAGGCAGGAGGATCGCTTGAGGCCAGGAGTTGGAGGTTGCTGTGAGCGAGGCTGACGCCACAGCACTCTAACCCGGGCAACAGAGTGAGACTCTGCCTCAAAAATATAAATAAATAAATAAATTTTAAATCCCCATGCAGTGAGGGGATACTATATTAGACAGCATAGCCTTAGAGAATTTTTCCTTGTTCCTTGGAGAGGAAACAATATAGACAGACAGCAATTCAGGGCACTCTGCTTTAGATGTGTTTTATCCAAGGGAAAAATCCAGCCAGCAAGCATAGAACAAGAAGGCACATTAGTTGTGTTTTAAAGCTTGTTGCAAAAAAGAAAAAAAAAAAGAGAAAAAAAAAAAAAAAAGAACAAGAAAGGACAGTGTGATGACCAGTGTTGACAGCCAGCCTGCCTGGGTTTGGACCCTGGCTCTGCCACTTCTGTCACTTAAACTGCACTGTGGCTGAGTTTCCTGATCCATAAGATGGGGGTAATAATGATATCTACCTCCTATATCATTTAATATCAAATGAGCATATATTTGTAAAGCACTTTGAAAGACCGCCTGGCCACCAGAGCTCATTAAATGAATCTGCAAGAACAAATAAAGCATAAACAGGTATCTAAGGCTCTGGTTGACTCTATGCATGCATACTATGCTTCTCTCCATGAAGATTGGTGAAGAATAGTTATTTTTTTGTCCAGTTGATCCCTTGGAAATTTCCCTGCGTTTCTTTTTTTGAGTAATGACAAATATGCACCTTTTCTTGTAGCTTCACAACAAATACCCAGATGCTGTGGCCACGTGGCTCAAGCCCGACCCATCTCAGAAGAAGAACCTCCTGGCACCACAGGTATCTGTAAACTTCTTGAAAGCAAACAGCAACGACGAGAGATGGCTACAGAGTAGGCCATTTCGGCTGGTTAAATGGATCCCACCTCCCTGTTGGTAAATGTGTATTTACCGTGTTTCCCCGAAAATAAGTCAGGGTCTTATATTTATTTTTCCTCAAGAAGACACCCTAGGGCTGATTTTCAGGGGATGTGTTATTATTATTTTTTTTTTTTAAGTATGGTATAACCATCTACATTGATTCAAATACAGTGAAGTCATCTTCTTCTGGAACATCATCCTCACTCTCCAAACCCCGAATCCCATCCTAAATGTCTTGGGACTCAATTTCCTTTGGAACCATCGGCCCCGATCTCTCCTGTCGAGCACTAGAGCTCTCACGGGGCGGATGAGAAGGGCTGCTCGTGTTCTTTCCCGCTCCTCGACGACACGCATGGGTTGTGCAGATGCGCTGCGCAGCCACGCCCATCACTAGGGCTGATTTTCATAGCCACGCCCCTAACTAGGGCTGATTTTCATAGCCATGCCCATCACTAGGGCTGATTTTCCATAGCCACGCACATCACTGGGGCTGATTTTCATAGCCACGCCCACCACCAGGGCTGATTTACATAGCCACGCCCACCACCAGGGCTGATTTTTTTTCATAGCCACGCCCACCACCAGGGCTGATTTTCATAACCACGCCCATCACTAGGGCTGATTTTCCGGGTAGGGCTTCTATTGCGCACATGCTTAGACATCTGCTAGGGCTTATTTTACGAATAGGTCTTATTTTCAGGGAAATACAGTAGAACACTAACTGATCTGCTATCTTGGCTTCTTCCTTCTTTAAGCCACTCACCAAGAGGTTCAAAAATAAAACCCGCTTTGCATTGATAAGGCTAACTTTTTAAAAAAATTTTTTTAACTTTAGCATATTATGGGGGTACTAGTGTTAAAGTTACAAACGTTGCACATCTTACTCGTTTGGTTGTAAATACCCATCCTCTCCTCCCCCCTCCCACCTGCCCGACACCTGATAAATGTTACTCCTATATGACCACTTAGGTGTTGATCTGTTAATACCAATTTGCTGGTGAGTCCATGTGGTGCTTGTTTTCCCATTCTTGAGATACACTTCACTTAGTAGAATGGGCTCCAGCTCTATCCAGGAAAATACAAGAGGTGCTAGATCACCGTTGTTTCTTAGAGCTGAATAGTACTCCATGGTGTACATACACCACATTTTATTAATCCACTCATGAATTGATGGGCACTTGGGTTGTTTCCACAGTTTTGCAATTGTGAATTGTGCTGCTATAAACATTCGAGTGCAGGTGTCTTTTTCATAAAGTGGCTTTTGATCTTTTTGGGTAGATGCCCAGTAGTGGGATTGCTGGATCAAATGGTAGATCTACTTGTATGGCTTCGAGGTATCTCCATATTGCTTTCCACAGAGGTTGAGCTAGTTTGCAGTCCCACCAGCAGTGCAGCAGTGTCCCTCTCTCTCTGCATCCACGCCAGCATTTGTTGTTTGGGGACTTTTTGATAAAGGCCATCCCCACTGGAGTTAAATGATATCTCATTGTAGTTTTGATTTGCATTTCCCTGGATAAGGCTAACTTTTGAATCAAAAAGCTTAGCATGTGTGATGTACACTAATAATACATGCCCTTCCTTCTCCAGAATGCCGTGTCCTCAGAAGAAACTGTTAAATTTAAACAACAGGTAAGTTCTCACCTCCAACTGGAAGCCCATCCCGCCCTGGAGAGATGCAAGAAACCATTGCCCGGGTTCTCTTCTGATGAAATTCTGTTAGCAATTTTTCCATTAAATTGCCGGTCTAAAACTGGCCCAGAAAGAAAACACGTTATTACTAAATATCAGAAATAGCAGGTTTCTTCAGGTAAGTTTAGTATTGCAGAAAATGTTCATGGGTGCCTATAACTCGAAACATTAAACCATTTGCAATTTATTTAAGGTATTTTATAGCTACATAATATCTGATAAGCATCCAGTTCATGCCTATCAGAGTCAAGATTATGCCTTTAGGAACATTTCTGTTCCTAACATAATAATGTACTTAATAACTATTCGTTTTATCAGGATTATTAATATAGTTCCCAAGTGAAGAGATCATTTTATTTTCTTTAAGATTCAAATTGAATATGTTAAGAATCTCTATTAAGGAAAGTTCCATAAGTGACCCAGTGTATTTGCTGATTTTATGTTCAATAGCCATTAACTGATTAATTCGCTGGACAGCTTTGGGCTGCGTTTTTTATATACAGGTGAATATAAAACGGAGCCACTTTTCAATTATCCATGCTAATAGAGAGGTGGTTATAAGTTTTGATATGCACATTAAAATATAGATGCTCTGATCTCTTGATCATTCTCATTTCAAACAGAAAAATCAATCTCACGATTATGTATCTGTATCTACTACATCATTGAATTTTTATTTATTTATTTTTGAGACACAGTCTCACTCTGCTGCCCTTGCTAGAGTGCCGTGGCATCAGCCTCGCTCACAGCAACCTCAAACTCCTGGGCTCAAGCCATCCTCCTGCCTCAGCCTCCCAAGTAGCTGAGACTACAGGCATGCGCCACCATGCCCGGCTATTTTTTTCCTATATATTTTTAGTTGGCCAATGAATTTCTTCCTATGTTTAGTAGAGATGGGGGTCTCACTCTTGCTTAGCCTGGTCTCAAACTCCTGACCTCGAGCGATCCTCCCGCCTCGGCCTCCCAGAGTGCCGGGATGACAGGCGTGAGCCACCCCATCCAGCCTTGCATCATTGATTTTAGTAAATTAAATAATGTCTGATACGTACAAGGAAAAACAATGCTATCAATATGACATAGTTGGCTTGAAAATAATTTTTTTACTGGCAAGCAAGAACAGTGCCCCAGAATATTATTGCTTCATTGATCCCTGTGTTAAAAGAAGAAATTAGGGGGACATGGGCAATATAAGTAACCTTAACACTTGTACCCCCATAATACGCTAAAATAAAATAATAATAATAAAAGATAATAATAAAAGATTATTAATAATAAAATATTATTAATAATAATAAAAGATAATTAATAATCATAATAAAAGAAGAAATTAGAATGTAGCTCCTAAAAGCCACAATGTGTATCGTGAACGTGAAGTTTCTGAAACTAAATAAAAGAAAGACAGTAAGAGACTAACGTCCTTTTTTTTAAAAAAAAAAATCATATTAATTTCTATTTAAATAATATTTACCTCCCGGATAGTTCAGAGCAAAGGATGGTTTTTGTAAAGGACAAGGGAAAAAATAGACACCGGCACGCTAACCTCCCTGGCCATCTTGGTTTTCAGTCCTCCTTCCTAAGCAAATCCAATGAGGGCCACGACCACATGGAGGATGAAGGTGACGATGATGATGCCAACCACGTGGACAGCCACGAATCGGTGGACTCAGATGACTCGGATGAAGCCGACTCTCACCACTCTGACGAGTCCGAGGAGGTGGCCACTCAGGTCCCCCCCGACACTCCCGCAACCTCAGTCCTCACCCCGCCGGTCCCCACGGTGGACACACACCATGGCAGGGGTGACAGCGTGGTTCGTGGGCTGAAGTCAAAATCCAAGAAGTTCCCCAGCCATGACATCCAGGTAAACCCTTAAATGGACACACGGGATGGTTCTGACTTTAGGGCCCAGTTCTAGAAAAAAACCAACGTCTTGTGTATTCACTTGTTGATTCGTTCACTCAACAAGCGTTCACTAAGCAATCTGCTTTGTGGCCGGTGAACACAAACCCTTTTCCCACTTTGGCCGTTTCTGTTTAAATCCAGATAATGTTTCCTTTTTTTTTTTTTTTAATTTTTTTTCTCTAAAAAATGTTTTACATTTTACATTTATTTCTCTCTCTTTTTTTTAATTTATCTTTTCTGAATCCCTATGGCTGCAGATAATTTCTCCTTAATGTTGCCTCTCAAAGCCAATTCAACTTTTCCAAATCCTCACTCTAAAGCATTTATTCTACTCAATTTTTTTTTTTTTTTGAGACAGAGTCTCGCTATGTTGCCTAGGCTAGAGTGATGCCGTGGCATCAGCCCTCAAGCTCACAGCAACCTCCAACTCCTGGGCTCAAGCCCATCCTCCTGCCTCAGCCTCCAGAGTAGCTGGGACTACAAGGCCCATGCGCCACCGGCACACCGATGCGGCTAATTTTTTCTATATACTAGTTATTGGCCAATTAATTTCTGATTCTTACTTAGATAGTAGAGCAAGGGTCTTCGCTTCGTTGCTCACGGCCTGGCGTTTCGAACTCGCTGACCTCAAGCAATCCACCCGGCCTCGGCCCTCCCAAGAATGCTAGATCTACAGGCGCTGGAAAGCCAGCCACAACCTGCCTACTACTCAATTTTTTTTAGATAAAAAAAAAAAAAAGACTTTGGAAAATAGCAATTATTTCAAAAATCACATGGTGATGTTTTTCTTTTAGTGCTTTTTCTTTTTATTGCGAGTAGTAATTTCCGAATGGCATTGATATTACTATTGTTTTTATCCATTTATCAGTTGAAGGATATTTGTGTTGATTACAAGTTAGCATATGTAATAAAAACTACTATAGACATTCACATTAGGTTTTTGTGTGAATATAAGTTTTCATTTATCTTGGTAAGTACTCATGGTGATGTTTTGAAGTTAAATACCTAAGAGGAATTGGAGAAGCCAGGCTCGGTGGCTCAGGCCTGTAATCCTAGCTCTCTGGGAGGCCAAGGCGGGGGAGGATTGCCCAAGGTCAGGAGTTCGAAACCAGCCTGAGCAAGAGTGAGACCTTGTCTCTACTATAAATAGAAAGAAATTAATCGGCCCATTAAAAATATATAGAACAAATTAGCCGGGCATGGTGGCACATGCCTGTAGTCTCAGCTACTTGGGAGGCTGAGGCAGGAGGATCGCTTGAGGCCAGGAGTTGGAGGTTGCTGTGAGCTAGGCTGATGCCACTGCACTCTAGCCCGGGCAACAGAGTGAGACTCTGTGTCCAAAAAAAAAAAAAAAAAAGAATTGGAGAGTTGCAAATCACACTGACTCCGTCATCAAAGAATCTAAATTTGACAGAGCCTTGACATTTACTATTCACTTAACTTTTTAGCTTTCAATTCACTTTCCGTTTATGTAGAACAGACTTAATGAGACCTACCTCACTGGTTGCATTGCATACTCAACGTGTGTACTTAATAAACTAAAGGAGATGGCCTGGTGAAAAGGGCTTGGTAAACTACAAAGTAACATGCTAGTGTTCTTTTTTTTTTTTTTTTTTTTTGAGACAGAGTCTCGCTTTCTTGCCCAGGCTAGAGTGAGTGCCGTGCGTCAGCCTCGCTCACAGCAACCTCCAACTCCTGGGCTCAAGCGATCCTCCTGCCCAGCCTCCGAGTAGCTGGGACTACAGGCACGAGCCACCATGCCGGCTGATTTTATATTATATTTATTTGTGCCAGTAATTTCTTTCTATTTTTATAGTAGAGACGGGTCTCGCTCAGGCTGGTTCGAACTCCTGACCTTGGAGCGATCCTCCCTCCTCGCTCCCAGAGTGCTAGGATTGACAGGCGTGAGCCACCGCGCCCGGCCTCATGCTAGTGTTCTTGCAGCCTCATTGAGGCCATTTTTCAGTATAAAAGTTGGCCTAAAAAAAAAAATAGAAAGCAGAGAAGAATGAACAATGTTCCCATCCCTGGCTGCTATGCGTGTAATTTTTCTTCTTTTTGTCCTGTGACTCAGTTTCCTGACTCTGTAGAGGAGGACCTGGCCTCGCACATGGAAAGCGAGGACCTGGATGGGCCACACAGGGCTGTCCCCATTGCCCAGCGCCTGAATGTGCTTTTTGCTCAGGAAAACCTGGGAAAGGACAGTCGTGAGACGAGCCAAATGGATGACCCAAGTGTGGAAGCCCACAGCCACGAGCAGTCCAGACTGCGCAAGCGCAAGGCCGATGCTTCCAGCAATGAGCATTCCGACGTGATTGACAGCCAGGGACATTCCCACAGCCATGAATTCCTCAGCCAGGAAGACAGGCTAGTCCCAGACCCCCAAGAGTAAGGAAGAAGATAAACACCTGAAATTCCGCATCTCTCATGAATTAGAGAGTGCGTCTTCTGAAGTCAATTAAAAGGAGACAACAATACAGCGTCTTGCTTTTGCTTTTAGTAAAAAGAAAAAGGAAAATGCATTATTGCAAGATGAGAGAACATGCAATGCTTATTCTCAGTTTTGTGGGTGAATGTATATGCATATGAACCTGGAAATAGATGTGATTGCTCATTAGTTTGTGGCTTCGTGGTAACACCCTTGTAAACTAAAAGCTTCAGGGTTTTTTGTTTGTGTTCTTTCCATAGAAGAAATGCAAACTGTCACTGCATTTTAATGTTTGTTATTCTTTTCTGCATAGAAATTTATATAGAAGCAAACAAAATACTTTTGCACAAGCGATTATAACATTTTATGTCACTAAAGTCTTTCGTTGTTTTAAATTAGTGTATATTTTGTTGTGATTATCTTGGTCGGTGTGAATAAATCTTAACGTGGTGAATATACTGAGATTGTGGGGGTGTCAATTGCTTTTCTTTCCTTCTTCCCCCCCTAATCCCCTAAGCAGAGCCAGAATCAAGTGCTTTTCTTATTTGGTTTTCCATAGTTGTCCAGTAGTTGTAATCTTTTTTTTTTTTTCTGCCCATGCATTATTTTTTAAGTTTTATTTTGTATAAGTGAAATCATGCACTAATTGTCTTTCCATGCTTGGCTTATTTCACTTAACATAATGTCCTCTGTTGTCACAAATGACAGAAAAACACACGTACAAACTATGCATCTGATAAAGGGTTAGAATCCACCATACATAAGGAACTCAAACAACTCAACAGTAAAAAAATAAATAAATAAAATGGGCAAAAATTGGAACAGACATTTCTCAAAAGAAGATATACAAATGGCCCACGGGCATATGAAAAAATGTTCAACATTATTATTCATCAGGGAAATGCAAATCAAGACCACAATGAGATACTATCTCATCCCAGTTAAAATGGCTTTTATAAAAAAAAAAAATAACGGATGCTGGCCAGGAGACAGAGACAGGGGAATGTTCATACACTGTTGGTAAAAATGTAAATTAGCACAGCCACTATGGAAAACAACCAGAATGGAGCTTTCTCAAAAAACTAAAAATGGAACTACCATATGCTTTAGCAATGCCATTGCTGAGTATATATCCAAAAAAAAAAAAAAGAAAAGCAAATCATTATATCAAAGATACATCTGTATTCTCATGTTTATTACAGGACTATTCATGTTCCAAGGTATGGAATCAACCTAAGTGTCCAACAATGGATGAATAGATAAAGAAAATGTGGTTATAGATATATAATGGAACATTATTCAATCATAAAAAAAGGATGAAATCCTGTCATTTTGCAGCAAAATGGCTGGAATGGAAGGTCGTTATGTTAAGTGAAAGAAACCAGACACAGAAAGATATATATCATATATTCTCATTCGTATGTGGGAACTGAAAAAAGGGGTTCTCAAGAAGATAGAGAATAAATTGGTGGTTACCAGAGGCTGGGAAGGGTAGGAACAAAAAGGAATAAAGAAAGGTTGATATCAATGACAGCCAACATGCAAAAGAGAGAGAGAGAGGAAAATAAAGAATTTTATAATTTTTAAATATTAAAAAAATATTAAATTTAAAATTTTAAAAAAAGAAGAAGAAAGGTTCATAAATGGGCACAAAAGTACAGTTAGAGAGAGGAATCAGATCTAGTGTTTGACAGTACAGTAGGGTGACTATAGTTAACAATAATTTATTGCCTATTTCAAAACAGCTAGAAGAGAAGAATTCGTTACAAACATAAAGAAAAATGTTTGAGGTCACAGATATCTCAGTTGCCCTAATTTTATCATCACACGCTGTATGCATGTCCAAAAATATCATGTGTACCCCCTGATATAGGTATAACTGTTATAAATCAATAAATTTAAAAGGAAACTATAAAAAATGTTAGATATATGAGTGAGTTACTTTACAATCTGGGTATTGGGAAAGCTTTTGTAGCTAAAAGAACACAACTCATGTCACAGTCTTTGTAGACAGGATCACACAAGTACAGCAGACCCTGGGCTCCCAGCGTACTTGTTTCAGTTGATACTTTGACACAATCAACTGCAGGTGATAGCTTGATTAATCGTGTTGTTCCTACACGATTGGCCAACAGCTCAGCACTGGCTGAAACCCAAGGCCATGACCAAGTTCATCCTGTAATCACATCTTTGAATGGTGGTACCATTCAATGACCATTCCCTGCACCACTTCTCTGTTACTCAGGGTTCATTCAGAAGACAGGAAACAGACCAGTCATTTAACAGGGAAAATTTAATATAAAGAATTATTCAGTTGGCCTTTATTAACAAGTCCCAAAACAATAGATGTTGGCGTGGATGCAGAGAGAGAGGGACACTCCTACACTGCTGGTGGGACTGCAAACTAGCGCAACCTCTGTGGAAAGCAATATGGAGATACCTTAAAGCGATACAAGTGGATCTACCATTGATCCAGCAATCCCACTACTGGGCATCTACCCGAAAGAACAAAAGGGCGCGGTTAGCTCACACCTGTAATTTAGCACTCTGGGTGGCCAAGGAGGGCAGGAGTTTGAAACCAGCCTCAGCAAGCCCCTCTCTCTACAAAAATAGAAGAAATTAATTGACCAACCTAAAAATAATTATATAAAAATTAGGCGGGCCGCGGTGGCTCACGCCTGTATTCCTAGCATCTGGGTGGGCGAAGGCTGGGCGGAATTGCTCGAGGATCAAGAGTTTCAAACCAGCGCTGAGCCAAGAGTGGACCCCGTCTCTTATGAATATAGAAAGAAATTGGTGAATTTGGGCCAACTAAACATGATATAGAAAGAAATTAGCCGGGCATGGTGGAGATGGCCTGTAGTCCCACGCTACTCGTGCGAGGCTGAGGGCAGGAGCGATCCCTTGAGCCCAGAGTTTGAAGGTTGCTGTGAGCCGGGCTCACACCCCACGGCAATCACTTAGCTGGAGGGCAACAAGGAGACTCTGTCTCAAAAAAAAAAAAAAAAAATTGCTGACTGCATGGTGGGCATGCCTGTACTCCCAGATATTGGGGCGAGGCTGGAAGGCAGGGAGGATCGCTTGAGCCAGGAAGATTGAGGTTGCTGTGAGCGAGGCTGATGCCATGGGCACTCTCTAGCTGGGCAGAAACGTGAGACTCTGTGTCAAAAAAATAAAAAAAAATAAGACAGAGTCACTTATGAATAAAGACACCTGCATCAACATGTTTATAGCAGGCAAATTCATAATTGCAAAGCTGTGGAACAAACCCACGTGCGCCATAATCCATTGAGCTGGACTTAATAAAATGTAGGTCTATGTGCACAGGAGCACTACTCAGCTCTGAAGAAATCAGCGGTGATCCAGCAACCTCTTGTGTGTTCTGGCGGAGTGGACGCCATCCTAAGCTAAGGAAGTGTCCAGAATTGGAAACAGCACCACGTGCGCTCACCAGCAAATTGGGATTAATACGGCACACCTAAGATGGACCACATAGGGAACATCTAATCGGGTCAGTGGGCAGGCGGGAGGGCGAGGATGGTATAGACATAATAATGAGTGTGAGCACAGCAACTGGGAGATGGAAACGCTTGAAAGCTCTGACATCAAGGGGGAGGGGAAACAGGGCAGTATATGTACCTAACATTTGTACGCCCGATAATATGCTGAAGAGATAAAAATAAATAGAATTATTCCAATAAAAACAGGATTACGCAAAGGATAAAGAGAACTTAAAGATACTATAAGGCGGGCGAGGTGGCTCTGCCTGTCATCCTAGCACTCTGGGAGGCCGGCGGGAGGATCGTCGAGGTAAGGAGTCGAGACCAGCCTTAAGCAAGAGCGAGACCCGTCTCTACTAAAATAGAAAGAAATCAATTGGCCAACTAAAGAATATATTATAAAAAATTAGCTGGCATGTGGCGCATGCCTGTTAGTCCAGTACATCGGAGGACTGAGGCAGGAGGCATGGATTGAGCCAGAGTTGGAGTCGCTGGTGGCTGAGGGGGCTCGACGCCATCGGCACTCACTCTGGCCTGGGCACAAGAGTGAGACTTTGTCTCAAAAAAAAAAAATACTATAAGGATGAGAGTACCCAAAGAAGGATCAATTTGCAAAGGGAGACCTGTCCCCAAAGCTGAGATTCAGAGGACATTGGAAAGGGGGTGCCTGCAGCCCAGGGTGTCGGCAGAAAGTTCAGCTTGGTTCATTCCTGGATGGGGACACTAGGCTGGTCCCCAGGCCTCCACCCGGGGTGCCAGCAGACACAGGCGCCAGCAGGAAGCCCGGGCAGGACTGCTGAGCCGGAAGCCAGCTGCAGAGTGATGGTGCCGCTGTTCCTGTGCAACCACGTGCGAGTGGGGACAGTATGACACGCCGGCCTCCCCAGGTGTCCCGCCACTGCCCTCTACTGACAAGCCTTGCCATGGCGCCAGCCGACTCCGGGAGCATCACGATCCGGTTGCAACTGGGAGGCACAAAAGTGACAACTGCCACAGGTTCATTGCAATAAAGGCTGGCTCCTGCTCGTGACTAGGCAGTATAAATGAATGAGCTTGGGACATCTTTTTTGCTGACGGAACGAGAGCAAGCACTCAAAGACAAAATGGGCTTATAAGGAAGGGACCAAAGAGCAGACTCGAAGGGGGCTTCTTTTGGCCCAAACCAGGGGAATTCGAACAATAAAAAGAGTAAGGGCAGTAATGAATTATAACAAACTGATTTTTTTTTGAGACAGAGTTCACTGTGTTTCCGCGGCATAGAGTCTCGTGGCATCAAGCCTCGCTCACAGCAACCCAAACTCTGGCCTCCAACGATCCTCTGCTCGTGCCTCCCAAGTAGCTGGGACTACAGGCATGTGCCACCATGCTGGCTAATTGTTTTTCTATGTATTTTTAGTTGGCCAATTATTTCTATTTTTAGTAGAGAAGGGTCCATCTTGCTCAGGGCTGGGTTCAAACTCCTGACCTTGAGTGATCCTCCCGCCTCGGCCTCCCAGAGTGCTAAGATTACAGGTGTGAGCCACCGCGCCCGGCTACAAATTGATTTTTTAAAATTCCAGTAGGATATAGTGATAGTGAAAGAGACAGAGCATTGAAGAAGGGAAACTCTTTTTTAGAGATGAATGCCAGCTAATAATAAATGTAGAAGGGATGATAAAATTAGAAAATCATTTTGCAACCCACAGTGTAATAGTTGATTCCGGAAAATATCAGTAGTGAATGTTAAAATCATTACACAAAAGTTGATTGGGAACAGGTAGTCACCTGGAATCAGAATATTACCCCACAAATTACTTAATAATTCCAGAAGGAAGAATGAGCTTTTTACTAGAGAAATTTGGCAGTCACCGTCTTTATCCAGTAATCAAACTTAACTTCACTAATGAAACTACCAGATATGTTCGTCCTAACGTGATGGAAAAAAGAGAGAGATAAATAAATAAATTTCAGTAAAAGTGCAAAGAGTATTCAATAGAGAAAAGATAGTCTTTTCAACTAACAGTGCTGTAACAATCTGATATTCATATGCAAAAATCAACCAAACCAAAAACCATCCCTATTTCACACCATATACAAAAATTATTTCAAAATGGATCATATGCCTAAATGTGAAACCTAAAATGATAAAACTTCTCGAAGAGAATAGGGGAAAAAAAATATTCATAGCCACAGATAAGCAAAATTTTCTTAGATATGACATCAAAAACAAAAATAATAGAAGAAAAAGTTCATGAATCGAACTCTATCAAAATTTCAAACTTCCAAAAATACTGTTAAGAGAGTGAAAAGACACTTTTAGAAGGCTCTTTGGAATATTATTTGTAGCAAAGATTTCCAAGTTGTACTTTAATGATCTTTACAAAGAAAAGCAGGGTTCAGCCTCCTCCAAGTCCCTAACTTCCTAACCCTGGCAGAGGGGAGCCCAAGCCAGTCACCTATATTCCATATTCCAGCCATGTGTTCACTTAGCATCTTATACACATGACTAACGTTACCCTTACTGGTCTGTATGAGTCTGGTCTTTTAATAAATTAAAATTTATTAGTGTCATTTGAGTTGCAAATGACAGAACCCTTAACCTAAATCAATCAATCAAAAAAGAAAATTTGGGGCTGATCTAACTCTGCTGACTCAGGGGCTCAAATGATATCATCAGAAGCTGGTCTTTCTCCATCTCTTTGCTCTGCTCTCTTAAAATATAGATTCCTTGGACCTACCTCAGTCATCATGAATTGGAATCAATAGAAGTTAGACTCCAAAATTTATATTTAAAATAAAGCAAAACAAAACAAACAAAGAAGAAAACATTCCCAGAAGAATGTCATAAAGACCTTATTGGTTAAATGTTATGTATGGCAAGCTAACGACAACCTTCTCTCGGGCAAGGACAACTTCTCTTGCACCCTAATCATATCTAAGACCGTGCAGGAGAGCCATAAAATGGGTATTCTGTAAAATCTGGTGAATCTGGGAGAGCTGTAAGTCTTATCCACGTTGGCATCAAAAGCCATTTGAAAAAAAAATTCTAGCTGGGTGTGGTAGCTCCCACCTGTCATCCTAGCACTCTGGGAGGCTGAGGCAGGTGGATCACTCAAGGTCAGGAGTTCGAAACCAGCCCGAGCAAGAGCGAGACCCCCGTCTCTACTAAAAATAAAAAGAAATTAATGGGCCAACTAAAAATACATAGAAAAAATGAGCCGGGCGTGGTGGCGCATGCCTGTAGTCCCAGCTACTTGGGAGGCTGAGGCAGGAGGATCGCTTGAGCCCAGGAGATTGAGGTTGCTGTGAGCTAGACTGATGCCACGGCACTCTAGCCCGGGCAACAGAGTGAGACTCTGTCTCAAAATAAATAAATAAATTAATTAATTAAAAATGCAAGGCAGGTTGAGTTGGCGACACGGCAGGGCGCCCAATGGGATGCAAAGTTCTGGACCTGGGGCGACTCTGCTCCGCAGGGCTGGCCACAGGGGGAAGCTGCAGAGTCCCAGGGCCGGATCCCTTGGGGTCCCCATAGCGTGCGGACGAGCGACGAGCGCATCAAAGATTAAACAGAACATCCCCAAAGCTGCAGCAGAATCAGGGAGGGGACGGCCACCACGTGCAGAGCAAGTCAGCATCGGCGGTTAGCGGGTGGCGCTCCA